TCTCGCGCTTGCTTCACAAATGCTTCGTGTAGGGAAAAAGAACACATCCTGCAGCGTTGGGCCGACCTCGCTTGCGATGTTCTGCTTTCGGGCCAACCGTGGTCTAGTTTTTTCGGGGGTGTGGTTGGGGTGTCCCTAAAGTGGGGGTCCAGAAGCATGGCTCATCATGTTGACTTTGTAGTGGCGGTTGGTGTACATGTTCGGATGTGAGCAACGGACATTTCCTGCAGTCTCGGGTGGGTGCCAGAGAGTATGGATTTTCAGTTGTCTCGTATCAGTTCATTGTGGCGGTAAGATTGTCAGCTGCGATAGTCTGCTGGGCGCCCATGGGGAACAACCCCCTTGTCCCTTTGAGGGGCAGATGTTCAAAGTGTCCATGTCCTCTTGGGGAACCTTCGTAACTTTGTGGAGGGCTTACGTCAGGTTGCACACATTTTAGCCATGCTGCTAAAGTCATCACAACTTCTTTCTGTTTGGTGGGTTCGGTGCCCACTCAAATGGTCAGTCCACCTAGCCCGGCAAGAACACCGCATGACCCCGTAAATCAGCTGATCCAGCGATTTCTTGAGCTGGCCGCGGCTCAGCTCTCAGGACACCTTGGCGCACATCGGCGAGCTGCTGCAGCTCAGGATGCCCGAGCTCACGGAGGCCTGTGGCCTGGGGGGTCTTATGGGACTCGGAAGCAAGGTCCGTGTTTGGAGTAGCCTACAGTAGGGAGGATTTTAGTGCGGAACGCAAGTTGTCGTTTTCTCGAAGCCAGGTTTGCTTTTGGGCCCCACATGTCCGAAAAGGCAATGTGTCAAAATGGGGAACCCTACAAATGCTAGGTTTCCTTTTGGTTTTCCTATAAGCCAGCCTGAAAAGGGGACCAACAACAAACACACACACACACCAAAAGACACAGAAAGCAGAAAGGCACCACAAATGGGCGCCAAAATGAGCACCACCACCCCAATCGTCCAAACATTCCCTATTCAAAAAGAGCATGCTACAGTGTTGCAGTATGTGCTTTTGATTGCAATCAAACTTGCGATTTCCCAAATATCGTTGGTCAATTATTTTGAACAAGTTCAGTTTCCGAGCCGCATGCTCCGTTTGCATCATGATTCTGAGAACATGTTGCTCAGACGAAACAGTTTCATCTATTGCATGAGAGAAATGAGGGGGAAATCCACCGCCAAACTCCAAGCAACTCGAAACCAGCCAGCTCCTCGCCATTCCTCGCACCTGCCTGGCATCTGCCTAGGCAATGACCACCCAGAGCAAGACGCTCTGGCGCGCATGAGCTTCGCGGGACGGGCGTTTAAGTTTAAGCTGCTCTGGTAGACGGTGTCTGCTAGGAAGCTTTTGTTGGCGGCACTGCTTGGCTAGATCCCTGGAAATTAAGGTATCCAGCGACCAAACTTGTTTTCGTAGGATTTGTTCGAGGGATGAATGGCTGGTTTCATGGCAGTATGAGCAAGCTGATGTTTGTTTGTGTTGGCCGCTGTTCGAGGGGTAAGCTTTGCGGACTCCGGAGAACACTGCACGTGGGCTATCCCGAAGGCACCTGTGTTTGCGCAAAAGACATTCGCTGCTCAAGTGTTTAGAGTGGACATTGTGCTGCACCTGTTAGTGTGGAGAGCAAGGTGCGTTGTTTGAGTCAGCTTAGGACAGCCAACTCAGGATTTATAGAATGCGGTTGGCACTGCAGATCTTCTTTGTATTTTCTTTATTTGACGCACATGTACTTGACCAGACCTTCTTGCTGACGGCTGCCCTCCAGAGATCAGTTTTCTAGGCTGCACTGCAAGTGTGACTTACATACCCATTGACCGGAACCAACCATGTTGCAAGCAAAGGTGCTGATGACTCGCGAGGAACCCCGCAATGAGGGACAAACAGGTTTCGCAAGTTTAAGTGCTTGCATGTTTTCCTGCAGAAAGTCAGTTGGCCAAGGCTGCAATTGCTTGGTTGTGCCGAGCCGTGATTCGGACCAACATCGTTTACCAACCACTTTGTGGGGTCTAATTGGTTTTACTCACTTGGCTTATTGTTTGCTTCTTAGGGTCGGGAATCCCCTTGTTGGTGCCTTGAAGGGAATTCCAAAATTGAAGCCAACGAGTTTGAGGGATTTGCAACTTCAACGCAGTTTAAACATTTCCACGGTTTTGCAGCTGTGCGTTCTCTGTGTTTTCCTTGGGCAATGTTGCAGTACTCCCTGGAGAATTGGCATGGAATCCCAAATGGTTTCCTTAAAAGGTGGAGTTTGCACTTGATGGAGTATTGCTGGACTCGCGTTTCCATTTGATGTAGTATTTCTGGAGCTTCCTTGTGAGATTCTGATTTGAGTTTCCATTTGATTTGGTATTGCTGGAGCTTGATTAGAAGTTCATTTTGATTTGATGCAGTATTGCTGGACTTGAGATTCTCATTTGATGTAGTAGTGATGTAGTATTGCTGGGGCTTCCTGTTGAGACATTGGGACCAGATGAGCAGATGAGCAGTGAGCTTAATTCATTACGTAAACTGGCCACGACTGAACCATGAGTTTAAGCCGACACAGCGCGTGGTGATGGCCTGAGAAAGCGCCAGGTCCAACTTCACAAACCAACACCAGGGATGAGTGCGTGGATCGCGCCTCACGAAGTGGTGGACTGCATCTTTTTGTATGATGCATGCGGTGCAGTTTCGCCTGGCTCGGCGGTGTCCGCGAAATGGACGCAAATCACGGGGAGGTCGAAGATGATCGAAGCCTTAATCCGCAAACAGCAGATTTGCTGGGTTCCAGCGAGGGATGCCGTGCCAAGAATGGTGCCAAGAATGGCAAGGTTTTGAGGTATTGGCTCCACGTTTGGATGGACGCGCCAGTGATTATTTTGCGGAACCCCAAAGATGCCGAGAACAAGACATTGCCCAGTTCTACCGTTCCTTCATTCCATTCGGCATTTGTGGGCATTCACTCTCGAGGGGCCCTTTGAGTATCCTTTGCCAACAGGACCCTTGGCACCAGAGATTTCGCATCACACTCTTTGCTGCCTGCCTTGCTTTATGCGGCCTGCCGTGTCGCATGTCGCCCGCCATGGCCACATACTGCCTGCCATGATCTATTCTTGTTGCCACGCTGCATGTAACCACCATGCCTTGTGCTTCCTTGAGCTGCGTGCTGCGTGCTGCTTGCTTCCTCACAAGCTCCAAGCTGCCTGCCAGGTGTCGTTTTGCAGGCATGCTGACATCATTATGTTGGCTCTGATTGGGAGGCAGTTGGGAGTTCCTGGGGCTGGTTTAAGTTAGGGGTGGTTTGGGGCTGGCTTGGCTCTTCATGCGAGTGTGTCTTGGGGTGGTTTGGGGTTGGTTGGGCAGGTTTAGAGTTGACTTTAGGTGGATTTAGCGTTGGCTTGGAGCTGATTTGTGTTGGGTGTGCTGCTGGTTCAGCGGTGCCTTTAGGGTTGCTTTAGGGATTTGGTTGAGCGAGTTTTGGTCTCGTTTAGGATTGGTTTTGGAGCGTTGCCCCAAACCACCAAAACTCGCCCGCATCTCTTGGGCAAATTCTACCCAGCTTTGCTCAGTCGTGCAGACCCGGAGCAGAGGTGCTCAAAGTGCTAATAGCAGCTTTTGCCATGGCGACGACACTTCTGGTTGGAACGCGGCTCCATGCCATGTATGAAGGCAGGTGGTAGCCAGCTCAGCTTGGTTCTGTTGATTTGCTGCACATCAATGGAGCTTAAGTCAAGCTATCCTTGCAATATGACCGCTTCGTCATTGCGGCTTCCTTGCGTTTGGACAGCCGCAGCCAAAACTGCTGCCTTGCCACTGCAGGGCAATACTTCGCGGCGGAAATCAAAAGGATCTCAAGGAGCAAGAAGTCTATCAAGGAGACCTACTCAAGTTGACACGTGTTCAAAGGCTTGTGGAGCAGGTACACTATTTGGGCTACCATCGCCGATGCGATGCCTGGCTGCCGTTGGATATGATCAAATCGAAGGCAAGCAGTTTAGGTTGTCTTGCTCACCCAACGGCCACTTATGGCAGGCGTTGAAGCAAAGAGAGGTTTGGGATGTGAAAGTGGAAAGGTCGATGCCCGAGGCGTATCCGTGCGTTTGGTTTACGTCCCCTTTGCGTTTTGGCTCAACTTGTTTGTGATTCGTGCCAGGAAGCGAAGGCCAAGTCCGGGAGGCCTGCCATACCTACCACCTAGACAAACATCCAGTCAGTTTGCCGGTGCGCTGACTAAGAGCCCGTGCCAGAAATTGTACGCCGAGGTCGCAAGTCAAGGAATCATCGAAGCTTGAGCTCGATGAGAGCAATCTTTGCAGCGAGGATCGGCAAGCTTGTGCATGATGGACTCACGATTCGGTTGTGGTGAAAGCAGCCCTGGCCAGAAAGTCCCTTTGAGTTGCATATTGACTTTTGTTTGCTCTTGCAGGTGTCCAGCTGCCTGTCCCAAAATCACTTATTGTTCAAACTAATTAGAAGGGCCGAGATTCAGATTGATTGGCTGACTCAGACCCAGTGCCAATACGGGGCCATACTTGTAGCATGCCAAAAAGCAGCTTAGGAGCAGACACTGTCAGAAAGGCTGCTGAGATGTGCTGAGTATGCAGAGACCCTGCCAGGCCATGATGGAACATGACGTTATGAAGCGCTCCTTTCCTGCACTTACCGGACTCTGCGGAAAAGGTGATACTGGGTGCTAGGATTTCAGCCAAATTCACATATGAAGTGCAACCTTTAGATGACGTCTCGAAACTTGAGCAGTCCTTCTCTGCCATTCCGTGTTGGCTTTTCTTTTGTGCATAATTTGCGCGCCGCCAATGCCAAGCCACGGCTGTAAGTCCAGGCTCTTTGGCTGCCCTGAGCAGTGGAGATCCTATCTTGCTGCGCGGCGCCATATGGTTGCTGGCCTAAGCATGTCATCTGACACTGTGCTGTTGCTTGTTGCTTGAAGTTGATCATGCCATGTTGGTGTCCATGTTGCTAAACTCCAGTTGCCCATGCGTTTGGGCCAGTTGCGATGTCAGGCTGGTTTGCTCTGGCGGCCTCGCAAAGCAATGTACCAGCCTGAAGTCCTATGCGGAGCTCGCCGCTCGGCAACATTTTGCCACCCGTGAGAGGGGCTGCAGACTGCAGCGGGCGTTGGCGAGGTGAGCGAAGGGCAGCCATCTGCTCCGAGTGTGGCGCGGGACGTGTCCCGAACCGCCCACTCAGATGCCATGGCACTTCAGCGCGTGCTCATGGCCTTCGCAGTGGCTCGATTCGATGCTTCAAGTGGATCTAGTTGTCAGTGGTAAGCAGACGTTTGTCAACTCAATTGAAGTGGTGCTCTCCTTTGGCAAATTGCCTGTCTCGTGGTAGCTGGGTTACCCCCAAGCCTTTTTTTTATCATTGGGTGTGGCTTTTGTTTGTTCCTAGGCCAAGGTTCGGTAGCCCAGGCCCGCAACCCATCCGTGGGCTACTGCCAGGGCATGCACTCCGTGGCTTCAGTGCTGCTTTTGCCTCTTGGCAGAGTGCCAGAAAGGCCCGAAAGTAGCAATTCATCATATGGAGACGGATGTGTTTGCCCCTGCCATTCATTTTGCATCTCTTTGTCTATGCATTATGCACTGGCGATTGACGAGGGCCCGATGTGGAGTCCAGCCGGTCAGCATGACCCGACTACTGGAGGTTCAAACTCCAGTTTGTTCCAAGCGCTCATGAATTTCAGCCCCTTCGCTGCTCGAAGTGTTTGCGTGGCCTGTGCCATGTTCGAAGCCGCCAATGACAAACTCCCCCTCCCGCGGAGAACTTTCCACTTGGAACGTTGGACTGTCATCATATCATGGGCGCCGGATTTCCCGCCCTCACCCCTCAAAGCATCTGATCAGTGGCAAGGCTTTTTGAGGAGACGGACGCGTTTTGGATGCTCTGCAACTTGGTGGAGGACATCTTGCCGCCCGGCTTCTACGACGCCAGCATGGTGGCCATCCGCGCCGCGGCTCGGCCAGTGAGCCAGTGAGTCAAGCCCATTTGAAGTGAGGCAGGTTTATGCAAACGAAAAGATCTCGACAAAGGACGGGTGACAACAGAGGGATGATTTGATTCAATGAGTTGAGGGTGAAGTTTTCATGCAAGTCTCGTGGGACCTCAGGAATTGCTTGTCTTTGACTTCTGCCTCCAGAAGTACCTGCCAGAATTGCACTTCCATTTTCACAGGACGACTGTGACTCATTTGCTTTGCTTTGTCAGTTCGACTTGCGTCGACAGGAGAGGTCTGGAAACCAGCGGCATTTTCACAACCTGGTTCCTGACATTGTTCGTCCCAGCCTCAGGCGTGCCTTGTGGACGGGTCACTTCGCTTAAGAACACAGACCCAATAAGTAAGGCGCAGGTCCTGCCACACGAGCTCATCAGCAGCGTGTGGGACTGCATGTGGTCTGAGGGCCACAGTGCCATTCTGCAAGCAGGACGTGCTACTTTGGTGCCTTTCGCCTATGAGCAGGACGTTTCCGTTCCTTGCGCCAGGACTTGCACTTCTGTCGCTGCTGCAACGAGCCCTCCTCACGGCCAGCAGCGATGATGAGGCGGCAGGGTGGCATGGGTCTGTCAGGGCGGCATTGCTGGTTGACGGTGGGCATTCTTTTGCCTGCAGTCCGTCAGGTCTACATGCTGCTCCAGGACCCCTGCAGGATCTTGGGCGTCTCCTCGAGCGCGTTTCTTCGGGCATACTTTGAACCGAGAATGAGGAATTTGAGGCGTGCCGACTTTTGCACAGCGCTCTTGACATGGTGTTGTCCTTAACCAGCCTAGCATGCAAGCAGGCTGGATGACGAGATTGAGCAGATACGGCATACCCACGTGTCGCGGCTCCTTGAGCACGATGCAAAGGCAGGAGCACACGGGACAGCCCTGACAGGTTGGCCACAGTGAAGCCCATTCAACGTGCCCGCATTTCTTGCGAAATGGTGTGATGGCGGTGCTGTTTCACTCCGGCGCAAACATGGGGTTGACTAGAGACAGAACTCTCCACTCTTGTGGACACTCTCTGACCTGCTCAGCGCACCCAGGCTTGCCGGACCGCAAGCCCCACCGAAGGCGGGAAGGTGTTTTCCTTGTTAGTCACCCAAGGTTCCATTTGCATACTTATTCGACCACCTGGCTTGCATGAAGCTGATAGGGTTGGGCGAGTCAGATTTGCTCGAATTGCTTTGCACCGCTCCTCCACTGGATGGATACATCTTTCTTTGATGATTGCCATGCATGCTTACATATGCTTACCCATGCCTCGCAAGCTCGACGGCCTTGAACCTTTCACACCATAAAGGATGTGATTGCCCTGTTGCCTGGCAGGATTGGCTCCGGCTGAGGCTCCTCAGACAGCGGCGGAGGCAGGGCGTGCTAGCAGAGGTGAACACGTTGAGCGTGTCTGAAAGACTAAAGCCAGACTACTAAGGCAAGGCTTGTTCGCCCGATCAGAAAGCACTGTGTAATTAGCCGGCTTGCTGGTCCAACGCAGATTTAGGCGACATGCTGCTGCTCCAGGTAAGTCTGTATGCCTTGCACTTTCACAGCCATGTTGATGGTCTTTGCCGTGCAGGACTTTTTCACCTTCATTGGCAGCTGGTTTTGCGAAGTGTTCAATCTATGACCGCCCTTTTGACGCACAGTCGGCAGCACGTTTGCCGCAAAGTCGGCAGAACAGCTTCACTTCATTGATGACAGACATCGCAACTACAGGTTCGATGTCTAGTGTCAATTTGTGCCACCCCCCCTCCCCATTTGAGACCGAACATGCCCATGCTGACATTGACCCACAGGACCTCCCAATGGTTACCAAATTCACATCAAAGCTCATTTGCCTCGCACCTGCTGCGCTCAATGCAGACGCATAATGCTTGAACATGCTGTGGAACAAAGTCACCACCACGTGCTCGCCCTTCCTCCTGCATATATCTCTCAATGCAGCTGACCGACATCTTTCAAAGACAGTCCAGAGAAGTTATGGTAGTAGCATGTTGCTACCACACTGACACAGTTGCAATGTTTAGCTGGCTTTGGCACAGCCCCGAAGGCCCGGACGGAAATGGAGTGCACTTCAAACGCTGCCACATGTCAAGACAGTATCCTGGGAGGAAAGCTGACAAGCCAGAGGTCTCCGGTCCCGCATAAGAGAGTGATTTCGATCAAGGACCTTAAATGGACAGTTTTATTCGGATCAGACAATGACATGTTTTGACGCAGCGCTCCTGCGGCCTTTTAACTCTATTCCCTACTCCTTTGGCCGTGAAAAAAGAAGTACTGCATTCTGAGACTCAGCTAGTCCATGCCGCACAAGCGTGTGCCAAAGCACCAGGGTTTGGCATTCAAGCATCTTGTTGTGCCAAACAAGTGGCAAGCTATCAGCGTAGCAACGATCTCGGTTGACTTGCATGTAATGGGCAGCTTTGCCAGGACATGCACAAGTGGCCTGCCGATTTACCTGCAGACACCAAGACCTCCTCACATGATTGGCCCATGCATGTTTTCTCGAAACTTGGTTTCCCAGCACAACTGGTCATGCAGAATGCAATTGTGGATGTGAGTCAAAATTTTGGGCAAGGCGCAATCCGGATGCTGGTGCTGGATGATTCTGACACAAAGCCTAGATTCATGAGGTGTTGGCCCTAAGTGATGTTCAGGCTTATATGCCATAAAAGGCCACATCCTGAATCGTGAGGCCATATGTCCCGAATATCCTGAATCTACTGAGTGACTGTGCCTGCCATTTTGTCTTTTGCCATTACCAGGGCCAATAGCGGCCATTATAGGGCATCACTCGCAGGAGCAGGGAGACATACAGCCCACAAGCGGTGAGACAGACCAGACTTTGAGGCTTCTGCCAGTGGCCAGGCTGTGACAGTTGAGTATTTGTCTAGGTGAACAGCATGCGTGCGCGCAGTCGACTGGGTGCCATGAGGCACCTTGCTTTTTGCTGACAAGTCTTTACTGCTCAAGACTAGCCCGCCCAGGGTAGAACAAATGTTCGATTCTTTCAGCGTGGCTTAGGAGGCTTTTGTCGTCAGGTCTTGAGAGGAACCCTAAAGCATTTCTGCAAGTCTTCAACCACTGCCTGCTTGAGCCTTGTATGGTGGCAATGGCAGCAGTGCCTGTCATGGCTGCGTGGCTTGCTGCATGCGAAGGCGCACCTGTGGTCGTACTCGTCAGCGTTTCCAACTTGTGCGCATAGCCGCCTCTGATTGGTTTTAACGGGGGTTAAACATGGTGGTATTATTGGGTTTGACCCTAATCAGCTTTCTGGCTGTCACGAGGAGCAGTGATTAGCAATCTCACGCACATACTTGTTTCCTTGTCGGACTCTTGGCTTGTGGGTGTCCGGGTGCCAGGCTTTTTGTTTTCAAGCGGATTTGCTGCTCGGCCAGCCGCTCCATCATCGAACAGGTGCCTTGGAAGTGGCGAAGGCCCCTGTGGAAAACTGCCTCCAAATCCCTAGGAAACAAACGTTGAAAAGGCTTGGCCCCCCTTGAAAATAGTCTTCCAAGTGTTCCCCAAACAGTTCAAACGCGTTTCGGATGAGTAAGAAAACAACACCCGGCCTTCCACTTTGTCCTCTGTGGTTCAATCGCCGGGCTGTCAACCAAACTTGAGGATTCTTGGCCCCAGGAGAGAGCGAGCAGGGTCCGGTGGGCTGCCACGGAAGCCTGGCCTGACAACAAAGTGACGGGTCCAGCAAAGTGAATATGTTGAGGGGTTCGCGAAGTGACGTTTTGGGGCTGTTTTTCATAAAGCGACCACTTGGAGGGAAATTTCAAGGATGTCACTTTAGTGGACCCGGGTATCCTTGCCTGCAACAATTTGCCGTTTGATTGAATCTGTGCTCTTGATTCGTTCGGGGTCCAGGGTGACCAGCTCTATTTCCACCCTTTGCATCCAATGCTGGATGTCCTTCGAACGGATATGTTCCTTGCAGAAGCGGGTCAGAACGGTTAAGGAGCAGCCTTCTGGAAAGATGTGCCCCTTTTCCTGTGCTGCGTGAAAGCGGATTTGCCACCTGGTTTCCAGAAACGAAACAATTGCGGCCACACTCTAAGGCAGTGCATCTTAGACTTTCAAGTTCTGGAGCGAGTGATTTGTGCACGTTGCAGAGGCGACCCGTATGTCAGCAATGTGGCTCTGTTGTCAAACCCTCAATGCACTAACAAGGACTAGGGACGCTTCCACTCAGAAACAAAAGTGGACAAGGTGTTGAAACAAGCGGGTCAATGCAGGGAATGCAACTGGCATGAGCATTCATCCCATTTTGAACCTGTGGCTCCACCTTAGACGGTTGCAAGCCGAAAGCAAGATGTGACCTTCTCCATTTTCGTGCGGTTTATCTAGACATCACCATTTTGGCCGATTTGGGTTGAGTTTCTCTTTGCAACTATGGAAACTGTCTTTTGAGACCTCGCTTCGCCTGAGGATTGACTTGTAAGCACCAAATCCAATCATTGGTGGGCAGCGTCAGGCTTAGATGAGTTC